ATTCATGCCATCATTAATTAATTTAGTTCAGTTTTGCGGCACAAAATTTATATCAAGCCAATCTAATTTCCATATTCAATAGCCTATCAAATAATATTAATAGTTAATGTGTGTTTTCTTAATCATGCTTGATTAAGAAGTTATTGAATCAATCATAAGTGCTTTACTTCGGAATTGTAATCTTCCCATGATTTTTAAGTTACTAATACGTTTACTCCCTAAAGTTGGTTTAACTTGAAAGAAATAAAAACTGTGAGATAGATGCAATTATAAATATATAGTTTGAATATTACTATCAAAAATCAGAGTGGCGCAGCGGAAGCGTGGTGGGCCCATAACCCACAGGTCCCAGGATCGAAACCTGGCTCTGATAAATAGAGTGGCTTCCGTATATATTTTTTTGATCCTTTTTCACGTGCGGGCCCCACGATTTGACGGAATCTTTCGTTTAATTTTCTTCGGCGATTGATTGTTTTGGTTGCGGGCCCCACCGAATGGACGGAATCTCTAATTTAATTTTATTCGGCATCCGATTTTTTTACTTGCTTTCCAAAAACATATATTTAAGATTTATGTTTTAAAAAAAAACCATATATTTAATATTTAATAACTATAATCACGTAAAAGATAAAATACATTTTTTATAAATACCAAAACTGAATTGTTGGTAATATTTCATAAAACAACTTCAATGCCAAATTAGATAGAAAAAAATCTAAGAATTAATTTTGAAATCTGAAATTAGTGATCAAAAGATTTGAAAAAAAAAAACATAAATTTTAAAAGACAGTGACGTGCCACTATATCAAAACTAAGGTGGTCCTAGATTGAACGTACCATTACAACTCTTAATAAATTTTGATAAAGTTGGAAGTCAAATTAATCCATTTCAAATCGTATGTGCTCCTTAAAATATGATTGACTCAACTCCCATACATGAACGACCAGGTTCTATTTGAATTCTACAAATTTACAATAAAAAACAAAAATTAATTTCAAAACATAATTCAGCCCGACCTAACCAATCAACATCCCTTTCCCTACTATTAATAAAAGATGATAAAAGGAATTGTGCTTTTTTCACTTTTTGAAAGAAAACAAAGAAATATGACAGTTCATTAAAATATGAAATAATAATAAAACAAGCAAGGAAATTTGTTAAACTATGATTGAAGAGAAACCATGTTTTTGAAGTACAGAAGAGGCAATTTCTAATACTAAGAAGATAACAAAAATTCACCCTCTCTTCCTCTAAAGAAAATAAGATAGTTTGGGGATATGCAGTTGCAGCCATTCTATAAAAACATTGGCTTCAGAATTTGCTTGCAGGATTCCCCACATCCTAATTTCACCAATTCCACTAAAAAAAAAAAAGAAGAGAGAATCACCAGTTCTTCTAAAACTACCAGAAATCAGCCATTCTACACCCAATAAAAGTAGTATGGCCGTGAGCGTGCCCGTGTCCATGCCCAGTTCGATTTCCTCTACAAGTCGAAGGAGAAACTCGAGGGAACAACAGTGAGTTGCAGTTTCCCTGTCCATTCCTCGCCTGGCCTCAAGGTGATCGGTCTCTCTAACGCTGCTCCGTTTACACAAAGCATCTGTTTGTACTCCTCGTCCCCAAAATCAACCATTGCTTTCGATTTCTTCTCCCATGGATTCCAAACCACTGTAAGAAAACCGATCAAATTAGTTTCTTTCTGCGATTATGGACGACCTGCTCATGCATATATCTGGCACAATATCCAGCTAGAATGGAAAGAACAAGAAGCACAGCAATTACACATTATAAATCTTACCAACGTCAGGTAATCCTTCCTTTCTTATCACATATGTTCGCTTCCTTTCATGATCAAGTACAGCAATTACATTCGGAGTACTCACGTATACTCGATCCACCTACAAAACAACGAGAATTGTGTCATCAATCGACCAAAAAAGCGGGAGGGACTTCTACTAACTAATGCCTCCTTTAAAATAAGTGCCCTAGAAACAGAAGAAAATACCTCAGATTCAAAGGTTATGGCATCTCCTTGTTCTGTAAAGCGCTCCTTTTGACACAGATTGTCCAAGAAGTCGAGCGTTTCCAGACCTTCGATCCGCACCTCACTTCAATTTCAACATACATAAGAATCTTAATTTACAACAAGCAGAGAAGAAAAACATACTGAGTGATAAAACACAGACTCCTCTAGAAGATACCTGATGTCTGAAACCACCAAATGCGTGTGATAGACAAACGAGAAACTAAATGGTTTCCCGTTGACATTCCTAACTCTAGATCTCAAAACCAGGTCCCCATCGGGTCGTAGAGACACCCGAAGGCGAAGCTCAAAACTGAAAAGGAAATGTTCAAATACTTTTCTTAGCAATGCCAGGCCAAGTTATCCGAATCGACTTTCTTTAAGGTTCAAACAACTTAACATAGCAGCATCATTTGCTTTACCTATAGGGCCAACATTTCAAGTCCTCCTCAGATGGTCTATATAGTAAATCAACAAAGGAGGCACCCTCGATATCGTCAGGGCACATAGGCGGCGGAGTTTCGTCGATTGTCCATATCTTGTTCTTCACAAACCCATGTTGCTCTAGTGATCCACAGTTTCCAAACTACAAAGGTTTAACATAAAAAGCACATCAAGAATGGAGAACAAACCTTGTAGAGAGCTGCAAAAAATTAAAAATTCATCTTGTAATATACCTGAGGGAAACATATGGGTATCCCTCCCCTCATAGCTTTTGGCGGCTTGAAGATTGCCTAAAATTCAAGAAACCACAATAACTCAGAATCTTCTCCAACAAACTAAAACTGAATGTTCAAACTAAGAAATACTCCAACCAGTTCTTCAAACTATCGAACAAATATTCTTGTTTCATAAGAGCCGCAGTATCCAATCAGTAGTTCTTCAAAACAAGAATGTTCGATTGAATCTGAAAGTGAGAGAGAATCAGAAATCGTACCTTACTACTAGTAAACAGAAGTTCTTCCCCTTGCTCATTTCTCCAAGAACTAACTTGTCCTCCATGTAAGCTAATCTACAGCATCGAAACCAAAAAAATCGTCAATCCAGAACCAGAGACTCAATCAACCGACCCCCAAAACGCGACAGATTCGAACACGAAAAGGGCAAAACGGAATAGAAACAGTCGATTGAAAGAAGATTGAAATCGGCAATGGCACTTATTGTCGAAGAAGAGAACTCACCCTAGCGGAAGCCCCTTTCGGATTTCTAAGAACAACCTGATCAATGCCGTTCCAGTCCTTGGTAATCTCAGTCGCCGCTCTACAATCCCACACCGGCGCCGAATGCCCCATCGATTCGTCTTCAATCCCCCAAAATTCTCGTCAAAGTATAAGAACGACCAAATTAATTGATTTGTCAAGCCGATACGGTTGAAAATCTGAAGATGGGTCGCATCTGGGAGCTACAAATTAGTTTGTAAATCAATGGCTTGGATCTAGAGCACTGCAAAAAAGAAAACCACATTACCGCTGAACAAAATCGGTTCAAATTAGCAAAAAGGGCGCAAATGAAGCGACCCAGAAGGCGGAAATTTGGCGTTACGCGTATCGAAACAGAAAGTTCAAAAAACGAATAATCACGACCGTTTCAAATCTTATATGATATAAATATTGTTAAGAAAAAACCGTCAAACTTGGAAGGAGAAAAAAGGGTAGATTTTATTTGCATTTATCGTGGGAAACTTTTTTCTGAATATTCGAACAACGAGTTCCCATTGAAAGCCCTTCGTAAAAGGCCAAGATAGAGACAATCCAGATAATCAGTTCCCTTTTCCGAGGAACAATATTGAAATCTAACGAATTCCAACGAGAAATCCTTCGAATGACAGAAATTTCAGGCAACCCAAAAAGGAATTCAAGTAAATTTCATCCCCAGAACCCAGAAATTGACACCACCCACCAAGAACAGAAGTTATGGGATTCCAGAAAAAGTGAAGAGAAGTTTAAATGTTGATGCAATGTACATGAAAATGGCGGAGGAAAAAAAAACTGCAATTTTTTAATCGCTTGCAGAGATCTAGGACATGGAGTTGCGAGAAACATACCTTTTTCTGTACTCTTTCCAAACACTGGAAAATTTAAATTACGGGACATTTTAGACAAAGACCAAATAAAAAAAAACTTTCAGTTTTGTTCTTTTGCATCAAAGGAGAGCCATACAATACAAAATCCGAGACTATTTATTATGACCGCAACGGGTCGAAGAAAGTAGAAGATAAGACACCATAACATGTTTCTTTTTCGTCCTTAAAATAATCAAATAAATTAATATAAAGCAAATCTTAAGATTCTCTCAACACTCCGGAGAAATTTATCAAACTAACAGAAACAGGTATAGTTCAACTTTGATGGATTTTGAAGGTCCAGAAAATTTTCTCGGATTCCAAACAGGTTCTTTCTTGATAAGATTTGGGGGAAAAATCATCCCCCATAGCCGTGATGCAGTCGGTGATTAAGATCGAACAGTTTTTTTTTTCAAATTTTGGATTATGATTTGAGTGATGAAGATAGGGGAAATACGACCTCCAAAATTGAAGCGAAATTTTCTAGGGTTTTTTGATGTATCTTAGCATCTGATCGAATCCGGATGCCAAATTGATTTCAATGGTGAAGATTTGAATAATTTGATTTTAATCCTTAGAGTAATGTGTATTTCGCAAAAATAAAAATAAAAATAAAGCCCTAGAATGTGTAAAATAGGAAAAGACGATTTCGAGCTAACAATGGATGTTTGAGARTATCCAACGCCTTTGTTTTCAATTTTCCCCTTTTTCCACTGAAGCTGCTGTTGCTTCTTTTTTGTTTTTTTCTTTTCCTTTTCTTTTTCTTTTCTCGCTTTTCCCCTTTTCTTTTTAATTAATTTGTAGGGTTTTTTTTTTACAAGTTGTGCCATGACTTTCTTAATTAGTTGAGCAAGTCGATGGTAAATTTCTTTTTCTTAAAGATTATTTTTTAAAAATTACATAATTACACATAATTTTAAATATAATTTCAAATATTACAATATTTTAGGTTAAAACGTGTTAATTAATAAACATATTAGATTATTTGGGCACTAACTTAGWGGATAAAAGTTAAAACACCTATAACTTTTCATAAATTATGCCCTCCTTGTTAGGAACTCAAAATTGGAGCTAAATTCATTTCAAGGGAAAAAAATTAAAAAAAAAATAATTAGTTGGAGGCATGGATCAGATAACGGACGCCACGTGTCACGGTAAAAAAGAACGTGAGATTCTCGGGAAATGGACCTTTTTCGGTGGGGCCCACTCATGAATTACGCGGGCGGGKGCTGATTTTCAAAATCAACCAATTCAATTTCCACGTCGCCCCATCCAACGGCTGGTAAAAGGCCAGCGGAACTTCTGAGTTCTGATGAATTGTTTGGGCCTAGCCCGTTCCATGGGCCTGTGGCCCAACAATCCATTACACTTGATTTCTGTGGGCTCAACTTGCCATTCCCATTGGAAAGGCTAGCTGAGTTTTAAATTTTGGAATCTAGCCGAACGAAAGTCGAAAGGAAACTTTGAATGGATCAAATTTATTATACTTTATTTCTTTGATAAAAAGTTGATATATGGTCCCAGTACTAATTAATTTCTTGATATTAGTAAAATATAAATACCTTTGCAAAAAGCAATAGAAAAAATAATAAATAAGAAGAAGAAGTATATATATATATATATTTGTCTAGTTATACATCGTACTCACCAGGTAAATCCAAAAAAATATATATAAATAAAAAAAAATGGCTTACGGAAAATGATGTCAATAACGAAACCCAGAGACAAAAAAAAAGGGTTACAATCTAAAATGAAATAAAAATAATAAAAATGAAGTCTTAAACCTTTCCAATAAAATTTGTGGAATCTATAATCTATAGCTAGAATATTCTGTCATATTTGTAAATATAAGAACAGATTTTTGGGTTTTCCGATTATGGCGAAATATTTAAATCTAATTTTCAATTTTCTAAATGTTTTGATTTTATCCTTCTATATTTTCGGGTACATCAAGTATATCAATTGTATATAAAATCAAATATGTATATAAGAAATCAACGTTTTATCAAATCAAATATTTATACCATATATATTATTAGTATATCATCRTTCACATAAATATAGAATAAAATMATCTAGATTATACAAGACATGAATGTCATCTAAGATTTGTAAATAACACAATACAATTTAGTAAGTGAAATTGAACACAGGGAAGATAAATAATATATAAGGTAAGTCATTGGTAGTATATTAGCACTCATATTAGGTATATCAAGTTTATCATTGATATATCATCAGATATATCAATTGTATATCAAATTAAGTATATATATTTGGTATATCATTGCTCGGACTTTGTGTTCATTAAGGGTGTATTAAAATTTGCTYTTTCCTTCTGTGGACCTCCATAATCTTCTGCATAGTTAGAGCTCTAGATTTTGCTATTTTCTGCAAAATTGGAAATTGAAACTTCACCATTAGAATGAAAATGGATGAACAGGCATCACGAGCAATTATTATTCTTCTCAACACATGCATCACGTTGGTCACTTCTATTACAAAACTCACAACCACAACCTTGCCACTCCAGTTTTGGCATTCCACTTGTGCTCTTGCTAAAGTGGATCCACTTGTGCTCTTGCTAAAGTGGAAAGACCATTAAAAAAAGAAGATTGTTCTTGTAGAATTCAATTCTCGTCCTCAACCCATTATCAATATGAGCTCAACCCATTATCAATATGAACTCGAGGTTTCCTTCGTAACATTAGATTCGAAATTCGAAATTAGATASTTGCCAGAATTTTGAGGCTCCTAAAAATTGTGATAATTTGTGAACGGAAAGAAAGTGGCACATTGTAAAGTTGCAACTTCTCCCACGCTGTATTGTGACAAAAGTGGTTCATAGCTTTCCATTTTCCCTCCTCAGTCCACTTCAAGAATGAGACATCTTCCAATTATACTGCATTCTTACACTTCAACCAACCCTCTATACTCATTTTTTCTCCTCTCTTCTGTAACATAATCAGCATGAAAATGATAAAGATGGTTAGAAAGAAGATGGTAACGTTTACAATAAACTCACTCCAAAGCCCATCACAAACAGATTCTCTAGTCTCCACACAGCTAAAAGTTTCAGTTTTTCATTGACAATACATGAAAAGGGTTCAACTTCAAACCCCACCAATTGATGAAATCATCTGGCACGAGTTGCGCATAGAGATCTAAAGCTAAAAATCTCTAATCTCCAACAATTACATCATTTCCATTGCAGTAACAGTTGCGTTGGCCAACCCCAAATATACTTTATAGTTACACATAATACATCTATTCAGGAAACACTAACCATTAAAATTAGAGTCTGCTCTTCTCACAGACACAATCCTATTCAGCTGTTTTCATTCTTTGTAATGTTTTTTTTTTTTTTTTTTGTTCTTTTTGTTAGCAGTAATTTTGGGCTTGTAATAATGCCAAAACCACATGAAAAAGAAACTGCAGTTAAACTGGTTCTTTTAGCTGGCAGCGACTGCATCGGCCCTTGGACTCGTGTCCAAGAGTTGGCGCAGCTTGGCACCCGAACTCGAGTTCTTCTTGCAGATGTTACCCTCTTCCTTAATGCTTTTATTCACAGGTGCTTTGATTTCTGTGCTTACAGATTGTTGAATCCTCTTCTCATTCATGTTTAGTGCTTCTGTTCGTCCTGATTGAGCGCTTTTAAGCTTCTCCTGTCAAGTTCATGGCATTTTATTTTGTTAGCGATTTATAGATTTGATTATGCTGGGGAAAAAAGTACATCAGAGAGGGCAGCACACCATCAATGTAGCGTTTTCATGCTTAAGTTTCTCGGAATTCTCTGACAATCTACCTATTTCAGATCGAATAGCGACATTCTCTGCAGTCAGAGATTCGACTTTTCGGGATAGTTCTTCAGTCTCAGCCTGATAACAGCACCAAGAAAATTTATAAGCTTCAAATAAATTGACAGGAGGAAAGGAAAAGAAAGAAAGATGGAGAGAACTTTTCTTGAAATCCCACTCTACCTGCTTCCTCAACCTCGACCTCCTAGCTGATTCTCTATTCGACTGTTTTCTCCTCTCCCGCTTTAGTTCTTTTTCATTCTGCGCGGAATATGAAGAGGCATTAAGCATATGTTCACATAAGATTGTGCATAACAAGAGCTTCATGTAGAAAGATGATCAAAGTTGAACGACCCAACATTTGTCAGGAAGAAACCACTAGAGAATGTATTGAAAATTAAGACTCCATTGTAACAATTTCATTATTAACCCTGGTTTTAAACAAATTATGCTTCTACCCAATATTAGAAACACATTTGAATTCTTAATCAAATTTAGAAAACAAACAAGTTTTAAAAAACATTCTTCCAGTTTTCAAAAATTAGATAACAAAAGAAACACTTAGGTGGAAGGTGGATGGAGTTGGAGTGTTTATAAGCTTAATTTGGGGGCCTAAGAAAGCCACTTTCAAATTTATACCTGTAGCCAGGCTTCAGAAGGCAATACTGGACAAGGCTGGGGAACGCTGGTTGGACTTGTCATGGCGTTTATACTAGAAGGATTCATCAGTTCCAATGCTGTAGACATTCCAGGAGAAATTACAGATCCAACAAGTTTTCCAGTCACATCAGCTGCTTTGGTAGCGCCCAATAACTTTTTAGAGCCTTCATTCACCTCAGCAGCACTAACTGGACTTGCCTGTGACTCAACTTTTGCATCCTTACCTGCAATATCAGACTGAAGAAATTTAAATCTCGTACATAAGTTATATAAAGCATCCAAGGCTTATAGTTGAATGATAAACTGTCCACTCATGAGCATAATCATGAAAATTAACAGATTTATTTTTTGAAAATCAACATGGGAGATGCTATGTGCATGGAAACAGACTATGAGCCTACTTAAGGGGATGGTAGACTTAAACTTTACGTGGCAACTAAACTTCAGAACAAAGTGGATCAGACATGACAGTGATAAGCATCCTATCACTTTAAAGGATGCTGAAAATTTTGAATTAACTAGGAGAATTTCTTTAATTTCGTATCTAATTGGGAGAGAAAAAATCAACATGTCATAGCTATTCAAGGGAAAATAAATTATCAGAAACAAAAAGTACACATTCATGTTGATGTAAATGGTTAAATCCATACACTTTAAGAAAAAAGGTTTAATCAATAAAAGAAGTAGAGATCATTGGGTAACACCGTCACTTTTGAAGGGAAAATATTTGGCAATGAAGTCATACCAGTGGTAGGTGTTCCTTCGCGGCTTCTTTTCCTTTTGGTTTGATTTGCCTGAACATATTAAGAAAGGAAATCATGATTTAAATTGCAATTATTCATCACCAAGAAATTAATGGTAAAACTATAAGATGTAGCTTAGATGAACCAAGAAGTCTTCTCTAGATATGAAATCTTACCCCAGCAGTAGTTCCATCGCTTCCATCACTGGAACCTTCAGTCTCCATACTGTTAGCATGACAGTAAGAATTTACAAGTTAGGTGAGTCACGAGATAAGTGTAGATGATTCAATGAAAACAAGCACTTGAGTTTGAATAATAAGTTATCTATAGGAAATTATAAGACGACAACTAGATAACATTGGTTACCTCTCTGATGGCCCGYGTTCAACTCCCCCATCAGCACTCTCAGTACGAGCATTGCCTATAGACATTGCCAGGCCATCAAAACCTTTCAGTTTCTTCATTAAACCTTGACTACCATTTCCAGACACCTTTGAAGGTGTTTCAATGCTCAAAGGAGTTACAGCAGTCTGCAAYGAGCACCAATGTACTTTTGATTAATATTTTTGTTCTTGGAGGCTTAAACAGCTCTTTCATTCTTTCACCTCCATTTCATACTGTTCCATTATATTTACAAATAAAAATTATTTGATTCCAACAACTGAAATACAAATTCCAATATGAAGGCTTCACTTACAGCAGGCGATGAGGTAACACCAGGGCCATGTGAATGGGGTCCCTACATCAACATACAAATGGAGCCACTCGATAATTAGAAGAAAATAAGAAGTGTTCCATCTTAATAATATYAAGCTACTAAATTCTAAACAGCAAAATAAAATCCAATTTGTCCACGGGATACTACAGATTACCCAACTACGATTGAATTGGGATCCAAATATGATTCACCTTTTCCAGGAATTATGATAAATATGTAAAATTTTCCAGCTAAGATCTTTAGCAACCAAGAAAGAAGATGATACCCACACTACATCTCAAGAGGACTAAAGATGGGTTGTAACAGGCTCAAATTCAAAGTTCTGTTTTGTTTTATTCAAAAGGAAACCAACAAAAGTCAATGACTCAATATTGTGCTCCGAAGATGTATCCTAAGCAAAATGCAATCGTAATTGTAGGTGATGACAACGTAATCAAGCTGCAGTAAACAAAAATGTTAACTCACTATAGAAACAGCAGGATGTGCATAAACACCTCCATGAGAATAGATTGCTGCATAGGGAGTGCCATAAGGAGGAATCATCTGGAAAAATGAATCAGCAAAAGAATTTCAGTCAAATACAGCCCTTTCCCAAGCACAATTTGATAAAATAGCATCATCATTTAAACTCCACAATAGTTAATAACTACCTGTGGTGGGCCCCACATGTAAGGGTGAGGAGCATGACCTGAAGCTACTGCTGCTGAGTTGTAGTATGGTGGAACTGTGACTCCAGGACCATAATATGCCTGAAARGGTGGCAAATCCCTTCAATTAGCTACAACAGTCTAGCTTCGATAATCTTATCAAATAACAAGTTAAAGTGACTGTTTGTAACAAATGGACATATGGATGGGGGCTGCCTAAGCAAACCTGCATGGCTGCCCACTCAGGATAAACRTGAATACTGGCTGAATTTGACATGTTTTTCTGGTCCTGTAAATGTATAGAGCAGAGACCAACCAGTTTAGCTAAAAAAACACATCATTATAGGCCAAAAAGTATTACATATCTTTCACAAACAACTCAAAACAGGTAAGCCTCGCTCTATCTCTCTAAGGAAATAATCACTTATGACTTATCAGCRTACCGGCGTTGGTGAAGATGGTTTTTCAGACTTCACAGACTTTGCCTGTTCAYTGTTCCCCATAGTACAGCTATAGCTCAAACCAGGTACCTTGACTAGTAATATGACAGATCTTAGGCACCAATTACAATCAGCTGGGCTGCATAGATTRGCAATGGAAACATTAGAAAACAAGGGAAAATGTTCCCGGATCAAGCAAGTAGATCTTGGGATATAAGAATTTGGTAACACAAAATCTGGAAAAAAAATTAAAAGAGAAGCAATCCTATAGAAGACGAAGGATTTTAGAAGTTGATAAGAAAAAGTTGTCTTTCCAAGTCTTACATTTCATTCTCTTTTTGGAAATTATAGYCTACAAAAATACCTTTCTAAGGAAAAGAAGACATGAGAAAATAAAATAACTTTGATTAGCATAGTAAATCATTTATGAAATACAAATTTTAAATCAAGTGAAAAACATTAATCCAAGTTAAGCTTACCGTTAAGCTTCCACAACATAAATAGCTACAAAACTGTATCCATCTCTAAAACTCGAAAGCATATGGGTGTTTCAGTTTAAGGATATTATAAAGTTTTCAAACTCAAATATGCTTTACTTATAAGAGCTCATATCTGGATCACAAACAGGTCATGCCTTTAATTTGCCAAATTATAGCTTGAAGTCACTTCTTTAAAATGTGACTGACGGTACAAAACGTTTCCTTTTTTTCCTTGTATTTTTAATAAAACAAGATGCAGCCATCCTTCAAAGCTACCACAAATGCTTTCTCTACAAGAGGCCCTATCAGAAAACTCTGTTCCAATTATTTATCATTATTAGTGCTATTGCGAGTAAGTTTTAGTATTCATCAGAAAACCATATAAAGTACAATTTATTTAAACCTTTTATAGCTTGAATTGCACCATAATCTGTGTATATGTTAATATCAGCTAATCAAATTTAATTGTTCAACAAATAACAAAAAAAAAATAATAAACATTARAATAAAATAATAATAAAGTAGTAGAAATATTATATCTGCGATAGAGGGGGGAGAGTGGAAACGCAAATATCAGAGAAGGGAAAAAAGGCGCTTGAGAAAAACCGATCCACATGGGGGCATATATGGCATCCCAAACAAAAAGGGTCTCATTGATTACCTCAAAATGGAACTGAAAAGTAAATTCTGGGAAGCTAAATGACGTAAATACCCCTCCGAAGAAAATTAATACAACGAGACAAAGAAAGGGAGAAAAAGGGACTGTAAGCTCAATTCTCTATGCAAATTGAAAGTTGACATTTCCAAAGACCCCTGGTTTATTCAGCTAATTTAAAACCTGGAACGATTACAGTTTAATTTTAACAAATTTACGTTTCAAATTCTCTCCTCTCATCTAATTTTACTTCGTCCGTTACCACCATAATGCAGAACCGAACGAAAATAGGCATAAGGCCCAGAATATAATCTGAACTGGGATAAATGACCCAGCAAATACAAAGGTATTGAGCGCGTAGATCTTCACGAAGAGTAATTACCGAGATCCAACTGAAGCTGTTGATTTCGGTTCGAGATAAAAGGAAAATACAGTAGTTTAAATTTCCAACACCTAATAACAAAAAATAAAAATTCGCAGCAGTATCATTCAAGTTCATTTTCTCAATTTTCTCTCAGCAACAAACAACAATACTTCAACAATCAAAATCAGACTTCAACAATCCACAATTCAACCTCACGTTACTCCATTTCCTAGGTAAGCAAACGGGAGCTTAAACTCTAAAAACTGTAGTAAATGCACAAGAATTCAATTCTTCACAGCACTCAAAACAAAAATAAAGAAAAAATAAAAAAATTCAAGAAGAGGCAAATTTCACATAGCTTCAGTTCTATTGTGCAAGGTTTATGAAACATAAAACATGAAAAGAAAAAATCGTAAACAGAAAAGGGCAAGAGAAGATTCCATACAGCTTAAGCTTCAACTAACTTCGATGGCGAAAACCGCAGCTTCCATCCTCTGCATTATCTCTCGAACAAAGTTCTCCAAAAGGGAAAAAACGTTTCTGTAGAGAGAGAAAATGAGAGAGAGAGAGAGCGGTGAATGAAGAAGGCGGGGAAATGAGGAATGGGAATGGGAAGAGAAAGAGAAAGGGAACGCCAAGGCACCWTCCACGTCATCATACACGTGTCCGATGACCGGGAAATGTATACGTATACYGTATATACGGGGGTGGTGGGCTATGGTGGTTGTTGAGCTGGCCCCTCGAGATTCGTGCACCCGATTTCTTTTTTTTTATTTATTTTATTCTGACATCACCTCCTCCGTAAACGTGTCCACCCAAGATTCGATCTGTTCGTCTAGTTGGGTCATGGGCCCGGCCCGGCCCAATTCCGCTGACGTGGTCGCTATCCCTAAAGCTAGTTTAATTAAATTATTCATTCATTAATTAATTACCATTAAAATAACTGCTCCACGTTTGTACGCCAACAAAGACCCTTGGAGTCCGCCATCGGCCACTCATCCGACGGTCTAAATCTTCTGTTTCGTCTTTAAAACAAGTTTTATTAATTAAAAAAAARGGGTTTAGTAGATATTTTGTCGTTATTGGATTTTTCATTACTATTTAAGTCAATTATTCAAGGGTTGAACACGTGGTTTGATGTCATTGGCAAAGACAAACACCTCACCACCTGGAAAATCCTTGCAATTTTCCTTTTRATAAATTGAAAGGTTTTCACTCTTGACGGGCGGGTAAATGTAATTTCACCTTTTTTGTTTCTGCATTTTCTTTTTTTTGGCGAAATTCACAGCCACATTGGAGGTTAGTGAAATTTTCGTTACAAAACTTTTATTTTTATAAAATATTTTCACTTTCTTTCTTTTTTTTTCTGTCAAGTGTTCAGTTTCAGGTGTTAGTTAATTTTAAAATAAAAGTTTCTAATCATATTGACATTAGGATTAAAATGCTATAATATTTGAAAAAACAAATTGTAATTTTGTGTATTAAAACGTCTTTACGTAAGATCCATTTTAATGATGTTTTCCAATAACAACCATTCTTCCTGTATAACCTCTTTTTAAAAGCTTGAGAGAAAATTATAAAATAAAAACTCACATTTAATTGAATATTTAAAATTATATTTGTACCGGTAGACAATAAAATTAATAACAATATAGAAAAATAATAAGTTTCAGGTATACGTCTCTYCGTGGAATTTAGCCACATGAAACAAATTGTTTTGAATAATTAGTAGAGGAATCATTGTAATAAAGGAAAAGCTTTGGGGGCAAAGTTGGAAGATTAAGGAATGAGGGGCAGAAGAGAGAATTAGAAAAAAGAGGAAGGGTATATAAGTAATTTGGAGGGGTAGGGCAGAGGGAGGACCTCTCAATCCGACGCGGATAGCAGGACTCCATGTCTGGCGCCCTCTGTCGAGTATCTGGAAAATGAAGAAATCCTGACCGTCCACTCCCCATCTCTGAATCCTATACGCTTTTTCCAAGTCACCTCACAGTCGCCCCACGTATACGGCGGGTCCCACACGATTTTTTACCCTCGACTTAAAAAAAGAAAAAAAGAAATTGACGTGGGACCCACAGGAGTTTACGTCAAATAATTGGCCGACGRGATGGAGTGGGATCGGATGGTGAGGAGAGTGCCACGGAGAATGCGATGCGGGGGACGGGATCTCCGCCACCCAAGCTGGGTGTCAGGACAATGGAACTGAACACGTACTTGGAAGTGGTCCCCACCGGCAGGGGCCGGTAGTACGTGGTCCTGGGGTGACGTGTCCGCAGCGCGACCACGTGGGGCCTACGGTTGCGTAGCCAGCTCACCGTCACGCTCCCCTCCCCCAAACTTTCTAGTGATCTTTTCAAAATCCCACCGGCGAGCCCTCCGACTGCCACGTGGCATCGCCCATTATTGCGCTTTGGCCCTTTTTATTCGGTCTCTGCTTGCAATTTCAAAGAGTATGAAAAAGAAGATAAARAGGATATGGAGAATCCATGCGATTCTTTTTATTACTATTACTATATTTTTAAATTTAGCGTTAAAAACGTAGGATAGATTCGAAAGTAATTTAAAAAAAAAAAAAACTAAATAGAATTTTGGAAGTGTGAAACTTTGTCTTTGATACCAACGGTGAGAATTGATATTTAGGCATAGCACTTGTCTTTGAAATCAAAGYATCGTGTAAATTTGTATTTCTATTAAATGTTAGTAGATTTTATTCACCGATAAGAACCTTCTCAAGTCGTAGTCAAACGAGCTTTACTTACAAAGTCAAAGGTCCTTCCTCTAAGGTGTTTGAGCTACGTGATTGAGTGAGAAAAACTACGKGTTGCACTTGATTTTACCGATTTTTAGAGAGAAAAAAATAAAATTAAACAAATTGATTGATCATCCAATCAAATTTGATTAAATCTAAACTTGCACTCCTRATCAAAATGGGATCTGTTTATTGTCTGAGTCAACAAGTTCAAGTTATTGTCTAGGCGATATTTCCTCCACGTAAAATAATCTATTTAAGTGTAAGATTCTTTGACATTGACCGGTCTATAGTTTAATTGTTWAATAATAATTATGTTTGTTTTGTTGTAACATTTTATAATCTTGAATAAATTTCAACATTAATTTTGTAGAAAGAATCACGGGCAAACRAAATATAAAATTTAAGAATAAAAGGGTAGGTGTTATCTCTATAATTTATCAAATTAAATTCAATTATRTTCCGGCCTATGCAATGTTATTTTGGAAATTCTTTTTAATTTTTAAGGAATAAGCCTAAGTCATAGGCTTTTTCAATTAGGCCAAGAATATGGTAAACTGTTATGTCAATTGTTCGCATGCGGTAATAATAGGAAAAAAAAAGTGACCAAAAGGGCCCATTATTCGTTTTCAAATTACAATTTATGTAATATTTTGACATTACATTGGATGTGTCCTGGAAGTTGATAGAGTGGAATGCCAACTCAACATTTAAGATCAGTATCTTTTTCTGTGTAATATTTCAATTCTTAAAGTTTAGCGATATCAATTAGAATCTATACTTTGAAATTTTTATTATTTTTCAATAATTTTTTAATCTAATTTTACTTAAATTCGTGATTTGTTGTAGAAGTTGTTGAAGCATAAAATACGAGGTCAACTGGTTCAAAATTGACTCCGATGGTAGAGATGTGCATGTGACGGAGAATGGACGGGGAAGGTTTCCCCATCCCCATATCCCCGCCCCTCATTTAATTCCCCATTATTAAAATTTTGAAATTTTAAGCACGCTTAACTTAGAAGTTCTTATGCTTGAACAATTGAAAGTACAAATGTTGGTATTGGTAGTGACTATTAATTCTTTTAAGCATACTTCCATGATCTTATGATTCATTTCATTAGGATGGGGTATCGATTCATTCATGTATCACTCCTTAGACGTCACACAAAGTTTTATTTCATCAATTTGGGAGCCAATTGATATAGTATATACTAGTAAATCAATTATTGAAAATATGTACAGTAAGTTAAATATACTTAATTTGGACGATTGATTGGTATATTAACTAATATCGTCACAATGTTGGAAAAAACAAAATTCAAAACTTTAAAGTCGTAGATTGATTTCCACGACGAATATAAGATAATTAAATCCAAAAAAGTTTAAGCATGCTCGAATTCATAATTGAAAGCACGTCGGTGGGATTTGATATTTCAAATGTATATAGATCATGAATTCACCTTTAATTTCCTCAAACAATTGTGATGTGTCTAACTTGGAGACCATAACATAACCAACCAAAAAACCATGGTTTAGAAGATTTTGTTATTTCTAATTTAGCCCCGATCAAATTATAAATTATTTTACAGGATCTACACATCTTATTCGTAGTAAATTTATAATTACTCTCTCATAACAAAACTCACCCATATAATTAGATCATATTTTTTTTCAAAAAAAAAAAATAAAAATAAAATAAAATAATTACATGTATGATTTTTCTTTTTCCCTGGAAAGGAGTACGACCCCATATTACTATTGTAAAATGATAGGTAGGTTAGCAACATATTACACATCAAACTAAAAGTTAAAACCGATTTTGCAGATTTTAAGTTAAATACTTATTAGGAACCACCTAAAAAAGTATAGTGATTAAACTTGTAATTTTACCTATATTTTAGAGGGCGAGTTTCAAATATTTATACTCATTTATTTAAATTGAATACTAAAAAAATTTGTAAATTTTCATTTAAATATATTTTAGTTTAAAAAGTGTCCATCTATTTTATTTTAGTCCATAAATATTCAAAACTAACCTATGCATGTTCAAACAATGGATGAAAAGTAGAATTTATGATTTTTAATAGTTGTTAATGTGTATATATTTGATGAATAATGTCATATGTATAAATGGTTAAGGAACATGCCAAGGGTAAAATTAAAAAAAAAAAAAAAGTCTAGAATGAATTATTTAGAAGCAAAAAGATGAAAGAAATTAAATCTTAAGGGAAAAGAAAAGGTTCAACGATTATAGTAGAATTTAAACTTTGCAGATATTATTTAAAAGAACAAAAAGCAAACTTTTGATAGTACCAATTAAATTGTATATTTTAAAACTTATTATTATTATTTTATCCTGTTATTTTCTTTTCTGCTATGTCTCGAGGTTGAACCAACCTAGATTTTCTCTATATTAAATTATTATTTTGATATATATTTTTCAAAATGGTTGTTTTGGTAATTGGTATCTATAATTTAAAAGTTAACCATTTTAGTTTCTTAATTTTATTTTTAGTCTCATTCATTTTTTCTATCAGTATTTGATCTGGACACTACACTCAATATATTCATTGAAATGTAACCATGATTTTATAAATAATTTCCGTTATGTGTCTAATTTATTTTAAAATTTTAAAAATAGGGACCAAAATGGTCACTTTTTAAAACTACAATGATCATAACAAACATTTTGAAAATACAAATATCAAAATGAATCAAAGCTACAATTACACTGACCAGATAGAAATTGATATTTATCCTCTGTTATCTTATCTTCTATTTTGGAATCAAAGAAATATATTTTTAAACTGCTTATATGTTGTGACTTGGAATAAATG